CTCAGCCCTGAAACACCTGCCTTTGAAGTTTCCCCCAAGCTCCAGGTGTAAGAGCCCAAACTCAGACTGGTGATGGGTGCTAATGACGCTGAGGTTAGCCCAAACTGTTTCTCTCTTGTCAGACTTAGGTCCTTTCCTAAGACTTTCCACTTCCTGTACAGAGAAGGTGCTTTGCACCTCTCCACCTGCCTGCAACAAGTAACCCTCTACCAAGACCCCCCACTCAGCCCAGAGATGGTGCGTTTGAAGGGTGTTGGGTGGAAAGGAGACTCCTGTTTCCACTCAGATCTCCACAGACCACAGGTCACTCTCGCAGGGGGCTCTTTGGCTTCAAGAGAAGCACCCGTGATTCAGTTCACTGGTAAGAGAGGGGAAAGCAAAGTCTGTAAAACGTTGAGTTTGGTGTGGTGGCACATGCCCAGCACTTCAGAGCCACGGGCAAGGAAGATCGCCACAAACTTGAGGCCAGCCAGAGCTGCAGAGGGGGCAGACAAGAAAAAGAAGAGGACCAGCTGGAGAAAATCCAGAAGGCTGATCGTTAATGACCACTGGGTCCTCAGCTCTAGCCCGAGGAGCGGTTTCTTCACTCGGGCACTGGGCAGCAGCCTAGTATTTTATTTTGTGCTCTGCTTCCCTCCTGACCAGAGAGTGGAGTCTCCAGGAGTGGACGTGGAGGGAGCGTTGGAACTCATCAGGGCCACCTTTGCAGCTGTGCACACCTGCTCACAGGGTGGCCTAGCAGGGTGGGGGAGGGAGTCTGGACGCTAAATTTAGTAGAAGGGTTGCTGCTTCAATGGAGTGGGTATTTACCCCAGGAAGTTGAAGTCAGGGGGAGGGGAATCCCTACCTACTGGAGCTTTTAAAAAATAATGCATGACCTAGGGCTTCATGCATGCAGAGTAAACTCTCACCCAGCTACCCCAGCACAGCTGAGCTGAGACGGGAGTTCTCTGGAGACTAGAACCAGCTCCTCCCCCCAGCAGACACGCAGAGGAGCCTGTGGTCTTGTGCTGGCTTCTGCATGCTTGAGCTCTCTGTGCATGTCATTTGCTCCTGTCACCACCACCCCCAGCTCAAGTCTCAGGTCCAGTTCCTCTTAGGTCCTTCCCTAAATTCCCCCTCCTGCATCAAAACCAGGGGCTTCACCACGCCGAGCTGCCCTTTGGGTCTTAACTTCCTTACTCAGACCCTCCAAGAGCCCCAGAGGTCAGCAAAGCAGTGTCTGGCCACACTGCTCCTTCTAGGGCGCCAGGGGAATGGTTGCTATAAGTCAGGTTTCCTTCCCTAGGGATGTCTACTGCTCTCAGTGACAGAGGACAAGCCTTAGTTTATAATGAGGAAGGACCTCCCCTCCCCAGAGTAACAGGCTGAAGGCTGGAAGCTCAGGGGCTATCAGAAAAAGAAAGGAGGTGTTCATGATGTGGGGGGAACCCTAGAGGGCTGTGGCTTCATTCTCCACCTGTGATTGGCTCTCAGGCCTAGACCAAACTCTGAACCTGCCCAGCAACAGCCCTAAGAGGCTTGAAAAGGGAGGGGGAAGTCAGCTGAGCTGTGGCCTCCACCCCAGCCTGGCTTCCAGGAACTGATGGGAGGGCCTGAGACCGAAGCCACCCCTCCCTTGCCCTGGGACTCTGCCCTCTCTGCCTGTCTCTGTTTCTCTGAGCCCTGCATCTTGGACTTGCCTTCCAGGCTCACCAGAGAAAGAAACACATCAGACATCTATCTCTTCAGAGGCAGGGCATTCTTTTTTCTTTTTTCTCTCTTTTTTTGGGGTGGTGGTGGTGGTAGTTTCGAGACAGGGTTTCCTTGTGTAGCCCTGGCTGTCCTGGAACTCGCTCTATAGACCAGGCTGACTTTGAACTCACAGAGATCCACCTGCCTCTGCCTCCCAAGTGTTGGAATTAAAGCTGTGCGCCACCACTGCCTGGCAGAGGCAGTGCATTCTTGTAGCCTCCTTGCCTAAGCCCTGCCATGAACCAAAGTCATTTTTTTTTCCTGGTGTTTTTTGAGACAGAGTCTCACAGTATAGCCCAGGCTGGCCTTGTGGTCCTCCTGCCTCAGCCTCTTGAGTGCAGGGGGTGGGGTGGGGGGGTGTCGCCCTATGGCTTCATGTCCTTCCCCACCCACTTCTCTCCCACTCTGCTGCCTTCTTTCTGCTCAGCCACATCCAACCCAAGGACAGCCTGAGCTCCAAGGCAGCTAAAGGGCTCTGCTACAGAAGAAGGTCCCATTTCTAGGGAGCCTAGACATGCTCAGAAAACAGTGGTCAGCGGGGGAAACTGTGTCTGCAGGCCTTTGCTAGTGGCCAAACTCAGCTTGTTGGAGAGGCAGGGACAGGTTAGAGCTTCCTCCAGAAGCAAGACCACAGACCTCAGGACTGTAGGGGGTCGGGGAACAGTTTGTACTGTTGAAAAAGCTGCCCCTTCACATCACCTTTAGCAAGTTATTTACTTTGAAAGAAACACAGGGGGCGGGAGGAGGGAGGAGGCCTGCTGAGACATCTCTGAGGAATGTGTCTCTGGCAGGACATCCGTTACCGCCTCGGCCCCTCCTCCCTCCTCCTGCAGTCCCAGAGAACCAGGCCCGGCTCCTCTGATTCTGCTGAGCAAGGGGAGGGGGCCAAGTCACCGCCACGTGCGCCCACGGGAAGCAGTAAGGCAAGCCTTTAACAGGGAAGTGGGTAAAAGAACAGCTGGGGCCATGGCGAGAGGACCTGGTTGAAAAGTCCTGCCGGATTCCTAGAGACCACAGAAGAGCCTGCCCCAAAGTCCACCACAGGCGCTCTGCGAGGATCCAAGCACCCACCACGGCTCCTAAACCGGGAGAGGGAGTGGCCTCTAGTGGCCAGAGAGCCACCTGCAGTTCTGGGGCCGAACAGGGTCCCCAGCCTCTGAGCCCTTGGGGACTGCCCTGCCTCCCATCCCTGAGGGCTGTGCCCTCCCCACACCGTATCTGGCCCCACCCTGCTCAGATGGCGGGGTCCTCATGAGGATAATGAAGAGCGCTATTTGTCACAATCAACTTTAATAAAAAATAAATTAGTTCTGGGATGGCCATCACTTTCGGTGTGACGTGGGGGCTGGGGCCAGGGTGTCTCATGCTGGCGGCTCACTCTTTTATCATCTTCACAACTGGTCCCTGCTCTGGAGAGGTGTGGTCCTGCCTGGGCCAGGTAAGGTAGCAGGGGTCCCCTAGCTAATGGGGAGGTAGGGATGCAGAGGCTAGATAAGGGAAGGGAGGGAACACAGGGCAGCGCAGGGGTGAGGCCTGACCTGGAATCGAGGATTGGGACACAAAATTGGAACTTATGGGGGCACATTCTAAGTAGCTCAGACTAATCTGGAAATGGAGCCTTGTTCCTCCTCAGCCCAGAAAGCATCCGGGAAACAAGTGTTGTCCACTTCCCACTCTCCCTCCGTCTGCTTCTGAGGAAGTGACACATACACAGGACATACACCCAGGGAGGCCAGGCACACACCTCGGGGCGTCACGCTGTAGTACAAACCCAACAGCAGGTCAGCAGTCACCTTATCCTCCCACACCGGAGGACATCTCCGGCGACACAGACCAGGTGAGAAGTCAGAGGATACAGAGTGGGCTAGTCAGTGGCTGACCAGTGGTGGCTGAAGAAAGCCATGAAGAAAGGATCTCTTGGACCCATTTCAAGCAGGCTCCAGCTGGGACCGCTCCAGGACGTGGGCACAAGAGCGGCAGCAGGTGGCTGTGTAGTAGGGGTAGACGCAGAGCCGGGCCTGTACCACCAGGGGGCAATGTGGAGAGCTGTCCTTGCATTGGTCATCTGAAGACAGAGGTCAGTGGCACAGGACAGGGGTGACATCACCCCTCAGGAGGGTGTTCCCATTCCCCCCAGCCCTTCCCACATCTGCCCGGATTCTACTGGGAGTGGGCAGGGGAGCGCTTTACCAGGGCGCTGGTTGCAGGGTTGGCTGTTACAGGACCGCTTCCTGGAAGGTCGCAGGTGAGGAGGGCATCGGCTGCTGAGAGTCTGGTTGGCACTCAGGCACTGGACTTCCCTTGTCTGCATGCCTCCTTGGCAGGAGCGAGAACACTGGGGGACCATAGCCACCAGATCAGCTCTCTAAAGTTCCCAGGGCTGCTCCTCAGGCCGCCCCTCCCTCTCTGAAAGATGGTGGTCGGGGGCTGGAGAGATGGCCCAGTGGTTAAGAGCACTGGCTGTTCTTCCAGAGGACTCGGGTTCAATTCCCAGCAACAACATAATGGCTCACAATCATCTCTAATGAGATCTGGCCTGCATGCAAGTAGAACACTGAATACATAGTAAATACATAAATCTTTATAAAAAAAAAAAAAGCTAATGAGGGACTGTTATCCAGGGACATTATAAAATCCCAAATGGAGAGGGTCCACCAGGCTTCCAAGTCTACAGGAGTGGGGCAACTTGAGAGCTCAGCTGGGCTGTCCTGGCCTGAGAGGGGCTTGCCTGGGTGCAGTGGGAAAAGCTCTCTTTGCTAGAGGCCCAGGGCAAGGGCGCCAAGCACTCACCGCACTCCAGAGAGTAGAAAACCATCGGTCTTCACAGGCCTGCCCCTGACAGGGCTGCAGGGCCGGGGGCCTGGGGAGGTGGGAGCAATTACTGGGAAAAGTCACACTGAACTCAGCTCCTAGTTTGGACACACAGATGATGTCTCTGTGCTGTGTGCCAGACCCACACTCTGAGGAACACTGTAAGGGAGGGGCAGAGAGATCGCCCTTCAGTTCCCGACCTGGGACTCACCAGGACAGGCTTCCCTCCTGTGCCCTCAGCTGACCTCACTCCAGGGCCCCGTGTACCAGCGCCATGTCCTCTCGCAGGGCCCTAAGCTGCAGGCACGCATGTCGGGTGGACGGCTTCTGAGAGGGCAGCCCTGCTCCAGGCTTCCTGCTTCTGCTTCCTGGTCCCCCTGGAGGGTCTCCCCACTCCTAAGGCAGACCACAGAGCGTCTCTGGATTCCTGTCCCGCACTCGGCTGAGCACTGTTGAGAGGAGAGTGGCCTGTGTGAAGGGAGGCTGCTGGTGCCCGGAACTGAGATGTGGAGGACCCACATCCAGGGCATTCAGGGATGCCCTGGGGTACCAGCCTGTAAGAGGAGACAGACAGCTGGGGTTCCAGACTGGCCTCGAACTTGGTATGAAGCTGAGAGAACCTTGAATTTCTGATCCTCCTGGGTGCTGGGATTACAGGTGTGTGCCATTACACCTGGTTTATGTGATACCGGGGATCAAAAGTAGGCCTCGTACAGGCTAGACAAGCACACTACCCACCTCAGTTTTCTGTAAAACTGTATTATGTAATCATTGCTTTTTTTAAGATTTATTTGTTATGTGTACAATGAGTGTTCTGCCTGCAGGTCAGAAGAGGGCACCAGATCTCATTGTAGAGGGTTGTGTTAGCTCATGTGGTTGCTGGGAATTGAACTCAGGACCTCTGGAAGAGCAGCCAGTGCTCTTAACCTCTGAGCCATCTCTCCAGCCCGCTGTAATTATTGTTTTTATTATTACTATTATTTTAATAATCAGGGTCTCTTATGTAGCCCTGGCTGTCCTGGAGCTCTCTGTGCAGGCCAGGCTGTCCTCAAACTCACAAAGATCCTCTTGCCTTTGCCTTCTGAGTGGTGGAATTCAAGGCGTGGGCACCCAGCCAGTGTGTAATGTGTGAGTGCAGGGGCACACGAGTCGCCCTCTCCTCCACTGTAGGATCCGGGGACCTTGCTCAGGTAATCAGGCTTGCCCAGCCAGTCCTCTTCACCTACTGAGCCATCCGGCCAGTCCCTCTGACGTCTGTTACTTTGTTATTTAATGTGTGTGTTTGTGTACGTCACACATGCTCACAGAGGCCAGAAGAGGGTGCCAGATCTGGCGCTGGAGTTACTGGTGGTTATGAGCTGCTTGACGTGGGTGCTGAAAACTGAACCCAGGTCCTCCAGAACTACTGAGCTCCCTCTCTACCCCATTTTTCTCTTTTCTTCCTTTCTGATTTCTTTCTCTCTTTCTTTCTCTCTTTCTTTCTTTCTTTCTTTCTTTCTCTTTCTTTCTGTTTAGTTTTTTTGTTGGTGGTTTTTTTTGAGGTAGGATCTCACTCTGTAGACCAGACTTGGCCTCAGACTCACAGAGATCCACTGCCTTAGCTGGGATTAAAGGTGTGCACTGCCTTACCCAGCCTGCTTTTGTGTTTTAAAGAAGGTTCTGCTATAGCTCACGTGGCCTGAAACTTACTATGTAGTCCAGGCTGGCCTTGGACTCAGCCAGTCCTCTCAAATCGGCCTCCCAAGTACTAAAATGGCAGGTGTGAATGTAAGTTTTTCCCACTTATCTCTGAGGTCCTAGGTCAAGAAAAATAAAAGTTTATCAAGCTGTGGTGAACAGGCTGTGACAGGGAAGCCTGGGACATGGTCACCAGGGAAGCCTGACTTGTCCAAAGAAGTGCGGGGACCCACCTTGGAACTCCAGTCGCTGTAGAACCAGGCTGTGGTACAGGGCCCCATGTCACAGGCCTCTCTGCTGGGGGGTGGGGGGGGCCCTGAAGCACACTCCTGCCTGCTCACTTCATCACCATTGTCCCCAACACACCGAACTTGCCGGCTCCTCTGACCACGGCCACAACGCACAGAGCACTGAAGGGTGAGAAAGCCAAGGCCGGGTATCAGCCACCATCCTCCAGCCCTCCCACAGAACCAGGGCTTTACAGACTGAGAGAGCTGAGCACAGGGCTCCAGGCGGCCCGGCCCAGTGCATCTAGCTGACTAATATTGGGGTTCCATATAGGTCCTGTTTGTAAAGTTTCTGATGACAAAGAAAATGGGGAAAAAAACAAAAACCACTGCCCTAGCTCTTTGGAGCCCACTTCTCAAGGGTCCTCCGCCTCCCCACCCACTCACCTGGCTCCAGGCGGAGCTAATCTCCCAGTGGCCACAGAGGTGCAGTTGACAAGGCTGAGTGGTGTTGGGCCGGGGGAGATGTCCACAACGCTCTGGGGGCACAGAGGAGCCACCGCCTCCAAATTCTTGTCTGCAGAGCAGCTGACGGTGCTGGGTGCCAGGGCCGCAGGATCGGCTGCAAGACGTCCACTCACCAGCCTCCCAGCTGTGGGCGTGGGTGGGGCAGAGGGGGAAATGGGTGGGAAGGTGTGGGGATGCCAGGCTGGGACCCTCAGAGGAGAAGAGGCATATTTCACACTTGGAGTCTGCGTTTCTGGCTGGGAACGAGGCTGCCAGTGTTTCCTTGCAGTCTAAGGGGTGCCAACCTTTCTAATCTACTGGCTCCTGTAGCCAGGAGCTATGAAGTTGCTACAGAATCCAGGTGAGAACCTGAGGGCAGGGAGCAAGTCCAGGGCCATTGTGTTTTAAGTATCCTAACCTTCCCTGTGGACCATACTCACTATGGGGGACACGGGGGCCCATGGCAGGGTTCAGGGGAAGCTGGGGGTCTGGCACCCAGGGCACAGCTCTGTTCATCCAGCTCCTCTCCTGACTCACGGGAAATGCAGAGGAAAAGGGGGCGCCAGACACCTGAAGGAGAACAAGAGGGCAGCCAGGGGAGGCAGGAGCTCAGAGCCCAGTTCCAGGGACGTTCCAGACCCACGATCCAGGACACACAGAACGGGGGATTTGGGCTGAGGGGCCTGAAGACAGCCCTGGAGTCCCACCTTTGCCGCAGGATGCTGAACATTCCGAGTGCCCCACTTGCTTCCAGTATCCGGCTGCAGACCCCAGGGATGTCCTGGCATGAGTCAGAGCAGGCACTTGGGGAATTCGAACCTGACGCTGGAGGGTGCCCGGTGCCCGAACTGGGCGGGGAGCTGAAGCAAGTAGGGGCTCCCCCCTCAGCATCTCTGCAGGGGAGTCCAGGAGCCAGATCAGATGCCTCCCTGCAACCCCGGAGCCCCGTCACAGCCTCGCCCTCCTCTTCTGGGTCTGGGGATCCTTGTTTTACCCGGCTGAAGTTGAAGGGCTGGAGGCTTCGTGGAGGGACTCTCTAGGACCGCAGGAGGGGAAGCGATGATGTACTGGTAAAAAACACCGGGGTTGTCCTCTTGAAAGATCATCTGAGGAGAGAAGATACAAATAAACGTTTGGGGTGAGGAGAGGGGCGTAGGCGACGCCACATCTCTCCCCGACGTGACCCCCGCTGCTCTACCCTCAGGGGCCTCCCCCCTACAGTCCAGTGCCCCACCGCCCGCCTGAGGCTCACATAGACATCCACAGGCTCGGTGGTGGGGCCCTCGGCTGACATGCTCTCCCCCTTGCCTTCCTCCCGAGGAGGACGGCTATACTGGAAGACAGTCCCGATGGCCGAATAGGACCCTGGGGGATCCACTGCCCAGTTTCCGTTGATAATGGAGCGGCCCCCAGGCCCTCGAAGTGCTGCAAGACAGAAACCTGAGCTCAGTGACCGTGGTATAGTTTCCTAGGCCTTTGTGCATGCCACCTGCCCAGAACCGAGGGACCTCGGCCATCCACCTTCTCCCCTCCCCAGCAGCCTCTTCCTGTTTGGCCTCGGGCTGTCGAAGGCAGACCAAAGAAACAGGATGGACTGGGACTTAGAACTGCGGTCCAGTTTCTCACCCAGGTAATTGGAACTGGGTCGGAGCTGGGAAATCTGAAGACGGGAGGCTCCCGCAGGGATCCACAGTATCTTCTGATAGCCCAAGGGGCCCCCTCGCTCCGTGAGGTTTCCCGAAACGAGCCTACAGGTGGAGCCGTCACCGCCACAGACCCCACAGCCATCCGGACGCCTGCCAGAGCCAAGGATCCCATCACAGCCGGGGCTCTGGGGAAAGTGAGGTGAGGCAGGGGCCACACAAAAGCCAGGCACACCTCATACCTGGCCCTACCCCGCTCCTCGGGGCCCCCAGCTCACCCCCTGCCCCGCTCTGTGTGCTCCTCCATCCCCAGCCAGGTCTGGTGGGATCCTGTCCACCACACACCCCTTGCTGGCCACCTCAGTCTGGTGTTTTCACTGTTATATAATAACGAATTAAAGGAGGGGGTGTGTGCATGTGTGTGTGTGCGTGCATATGTGCGCATGCACTCATATGTAAACAACACCCTGCCCTCCCCCGCCCACGCCTGCCCTCCCTTACCAGGCAGCGTCCTGCCACACAAATGTCTAGGGATCCAGGCTGACACAGGGTCCCATCCTGGACCTTTTCGGTGTGACGGACATAGAACCGGAAGCCACGGGGGCGGCAGTTCAGCTCACAGCGCTGGGAACCCTGAACTAAGGGATGAGATATAAGATAGCCGGGGTCCCTAAAGGAGGAGGCCCCTCAGAGCCCTGGCAGCCATCTGCCTTATTACATGGGGGGGGGGGGGGGGCGCATCTGAAGCTGCTGTGGAAGAAGGAGGGGCAATTTCCCAGGCTGAGGGTTTTTATGTTTCTTGTTTTTGTTATGCTATCTGGCCTCAAGGTTATGAATTTTGCTGATTCTCCTACCTCATTCTCCTAAAAAGGGGGAAGTTCTGCACCTGACCATCAAAAAGGATTTTTTGTTGTTTGGTTTTAAGTGTGTATGGGAGTGGGATGCTCATGTGGGAGTCAGGACAATCTGTAGGAGTGGGTTCTCTGCTTCCATCATGGGTCTGGAGACCAAACTCAGGTCATCAGGCTTGAGGCAAGCTCCTTTACCCACTGAGCCATCCTACCTTTCCTCAAAAGGGTTTTTGACACCTGTGATTATGAGTTCATAGCCCATGAAGGTTTGTCTTGGTGTCAAGCTGACATAGGCCCACATCCGAGTGGACAGTAACTTGGGAGCAACTGATATGATACCATGAATACCCTGCTGGAACCAGTAAACTGATCACATTCGCATCCCCTCCCGGATCACAGCCAACAGGCATCTCTACAACTCCCCCTCCCAGCCCGCCTCCTGTCCTGACCACCCACCCATGACTATCTAAAAGCTCCTCCCTTCTCTAGGCTATTGCTGAGTCTCTGATGTGACCTGAGAATTAAGACACAGGAGGAAGAGGGGGGCCACCCCAACCTGAGTCAGCCCAGCCAGGGGGACTAGAAACTGCACCTTCAGTGAAGGGTTCCCACTGGTACAGCTGGCCCATGAATTCCTGGGAGTCAAAGGCGGCACACTGCAGGGCCCTGGGGTCTGGCTGCTCAGGGGGGCAAGGCTGAGGAGGCAGAGACACAGGCATCAGGCAGGGCTGGAGAGGAAACCTGGGGTGCGGGCCAGGACTGGACTAGGGGTTGGGAACTGGTGGGTCAGCTCCACAGAACACCACCCTTATGTCCCAGTCCACAAGCTGAGGACTCGGGTCAGGGGACATCCTTGGAAGCCCAGGGCAGGAGACCCAGAGAAGAACTCACCTCTTGGCTGCAGGCTCTCATCTGTTCACTTTCCCCAGAACACTTTGGAACAGGGCTACTAGGAGCAAAAAGGCTCCAGAGGGGGCTGGAGTCTCTTGTCAGGGGCAGCCAGCCATCTGGGGACCTGTGAGAACTCCCTCGGGGTCTCCAGTGCCCCCTGCTCTGCTGGCCTCCACTCCGAGGGACAGACGGTAAAGGATGAGGATGTCGCCCTGCTCCCTGGGGACTGTTCCAACTGCGGGAGGTTGGCATTCGTGGCCCAGGAGATCCCTGGTAAGACCTACTGTCTCCAAAGGAGGATGTGGCTGAGGGGATCTCTGTGTCAGAGGGAGCAGGACTGCTTCTGGGGGACACCTCAGTCTGAGCACTTCCAGGCCTTGGGGTTTCAGCGGGGGGAGAGTGGGAGTCGGTATGCAGTTCAGGAAGCTGCGTGTGAGGGCTGTGGTTTGCAGAGGCCGGCTCTGTGCTTGGAGGCCGGGATGGAAGGGTCTCATCCCCTGTAGAAGAGTTCTTGGGTTGCTCGGGTCTATGGGGGTGCCTACGGCTCCGGTGCAGTGGCAAGGCAAAAGGCACTCTCCCATAACCAAACATCCCTGGCTTGATCGGGTCTCGAACCCGGGACCTGAGAGGATGATGCAGACTTAGAGTCATCTCTTAGCCTGTCTCCCCAATCCCTGTCCTGAAAGATCAGCCTGCCGAGGTGAAGCCCCCTTGCCCCTTTCTGTTAACCCCACCCCTCCCTGTTCTGCTCTGCCCTCCTCGGGGCCTTACCTCTGGGCCCCTTGAGTCCCTTGGGGCTTCTCTCTCCCCAGCTGGGAAGCAGGACCTTGAAGAGGGCCACCCCTTCCCCGAGGCTGTGGCCTGTACAGGGACTGGGCGTCCTGGGGAGTCTGGGGTCTGGGCCGGAGGGCTTCTGGATGTCTTGGGGGTCGGGGAGGGAGGGATAGGCTTGGGTGCAGTTCACAAGTTCGGCTCCTTTGCTGCACCCCCACCCCACAAGGCTGGGAGCAGGGGGCCCACCGGCCCCAATGTCCCCAGAGGCCCTCAGGGGCCTGGCCCTCCTCTGATGGTGTCTGAAGAGAAGGTCCAAACAGCTACATAGGGGGAAAGGTCAGAATTAGTGTCAAGGTTCAAAGGTTGTTAGTTGTCCAAGGTCACATGTACTGGTAGGGTCGGACTCCAGCCTTTTCTGTGTTATTTAACTAAAAGAGGGCATTGGCAGGGAGACTGGGTGGGCCAAGCCACGGGGCTCAAGTCTCCCAGTGGGGATAGGGGAGGCCAGGGCAGAGCAGAGGGACCCTGCGCAGGGTGGCAGTGGCTTCCTTGGTGAGGGCTCACCTCCTGATGCTGGCCGAGCTGAAGAAGAGGCAGCAGCGGCATCACACACAGCCAGAGCCTGCACAGCAAGGGGTGGAGACATCAGACGGAGCCAGAAAAGTTACGCCATTACCCACCCCCACCCAGGCTCCCCACGGCCTGGGTCGCCAACTTCTCAGGAAGCACCAGTTCCTTGTCACTTTCCAGGCCCCTTCCAACAACCCCTTGCCCTCTCTTTTTCTCTTCTTTTGGTTTTTCAAGACAGGGTTTCTCCGTGTAGCTCTGGCTGTCCTGGAACTCTCTCTGTAGGCCAGGCTAGCCTCACACTCAAAGAGGTCCACCTGCCTCTGCCCCTGGAGTTTAAGGCATGTGCCACCACTGCCCAGCCCGTTGTTCCCTGCTTACTGTTAGAGACAGAGCTGTCCCTCTGCACCGTGGCCCTTGCTCTTACCTGCCCAGCCAGGTCTCCATTGCTCTTCCCTTGACTGTCCCCGGGCTAGGGGGCAGGAGACAGGATAGCTACTCTGGCATCTGGGCATGGAGGGTACTCTGAGGAGGAAGAAGCATTGTGGTTACCCCTCCAGATAGCCGGGAGACTGAAGGGCTGTCTCAGCACAGCGCCAGCAGAGTGGAGGAGAAGACTGGTCCACCCCTTTAGGACCTAAGGGTGGGAGCAATAAGGAACGCTGTCTTTGCCATCTGCTGAGGCGAGGGGTGGGGGTGGGGGTGGGGGTCTGACCTCAGCCTTCGAGTTCAATTTAGTCCCTCCCTGCGGCCCAAGACAGGCTTAGCTCCTCTGGAGGCCTGAGGAGGGGCAGTGCACAGCCAGCTTGAACCAGGAGGGTCTTTCTCCCAGAGCTACTGGACCTAGAGGAGGCAGGCTATGCCAGGCGCCCCCGTGAGCGGCCAGCCAGAGGACCCTTGGCACCAGGTGTGGGGGCAAAAGCCTTAATCCCACCCTTTGGGATGGGGAGCAAGAGGATCAGGAGTTCAAGGCCAGCCTGGCTGACAGGAGATCCCTACCTCAAAAAACAAAACAAAACCAACCTCCCCCTCCCCTGCGCCCCCCAAAATAATAAAACAAAACAAAAAACCCGAGGATTTGTTTCCTACCTCTCCCAGGCCTTCCTTCCCCTCTTAGCTAAAGCTCCTTATGAAGGAACAGTCAGGCGCATCTGGTCTACCACAGGCACTTTTTTGTCCAAGGGATAAACTAAGTGGGCTAATGGCTTCATCTCTAGAGAAAAGCCTCCCTGTGGGTGCCAGCATCCACCAGGCATTGGCTCATGGCGACTTAGTTCATGTACAGCTAGTTTTCTTCTCTTTATTTTTTCTTCCGATGCTCAGCCAAAATGGCTGGGCCCCTCGGAAGGAGAGACGCAGCCATAGCTGCTCAGACTTCCCAGCCACCAGCTTCTCCTTCTGGTCTACCCGGGAAGTCCACCCCGAAGTCTAACCTTGAACACTGGGTAGAGAGGGGCTTCCATACCCTGTCCTCAAAGTCTGTCTCTCCCCACGCCCTGCCCTCCAGCCCCTTCTGCTCTCTGAGGCCCTTCCCACCCACACCCATCATCCCATCTCAGTTCTGCTTTCCAGGAAAAACACTGTTTCTGTTGGATCTGAATGGCAGGCACCACCGGAGGAATCCAAGGATCGCTGGCCAAGGTAGGCCAGCTCAGGGCAGGCAAAGGACGAGGGAACTAAAGCTAGGTCCTGCTCCCTCCCACTCCCCAGGACCCCAGGACCTGGGAATTTGAAGAAGGAAACAAAGTGACTGAGCCCTCCCCTTCCCCTTGCTGGGCCAGCCACTGAGGTCCACAACAGCCCTGATGGAACAGGCGCCATGTTCAAGCCACCCATCAGCCGTCTACCTGCCTGCCTTAGGCTGGAAGGGGTGATGGGCACAACCTGTCTCTTCTCCGATGCTGGTCCTCTTTGCACCTCCCTCTGCGTCTCTCTGCTCCCCCAGGTCTGTCCCTGCTGCCTCTCCGTGGTCTACCCAGTACACATAATCCTGTCCTGAGCTGGCTTTGGCAGCTCTCTGGAGAAGTGAGGGGTGGGGGGTGACGAGAGCTCCTGGGGCCAGGGCCAGGCCTGGCTCCCTCTCTGGAAAAGTCCACCCCACCCTCCCCTGCATAGGGGAGCAGGCGCCATGTATGCTTGTTGTCCCTTTTCACACCCAGGGTGAGGAAGACAGAAGTTGGAGGTGGGCACCCCCGAAGTCAAGGTGGACCCTGGTAAGGACCAGCCTGGGCTGCTTCTGGTCACACCCCACACTGGGCCCTTTGACATCAAGGAAAGTGACCTGCACAGAGCTGACCCCTTCACCCTCGGGCTCACCTCGGGCAAATGAGCCCTTGCTGGCTGGGGGAAATGAACACTAGTAAGGGCTGGGCTGGCAGAGGAGAGTCGCTGTCCTGTCAGAACTCCGTCCCAACAGGTGTCTTTTCTTTTCCCTCAGCCTCTCCCAACAGGCTGAGCTGTGCGAGGAGCACTCACCCGCATCCCTCCCAGACACCCTGTCCCCGCGGTCCCGGAGTGCAGGCGTCGGGGCGCATCCTCCCGAAGCCCCGCGGGCGGGGAGAAGCGGGCGGCGCTGGCGTGCAGGGAGGTCCCGTATGTTTTCCAACTTCACTATGTGACTTAACAGGAATCTTGGCTCAAGCCCTCGCCGGGGGGATGGGACCAGACCCCCTCCCCAGGAATTCGCCCCAGGGCCCGCTGTTCCGTGACCGTCAGAGCCCAGGCGGGGGTCGGGGAGGCTCTACCTTCTCTGCGCCCGCTCTCTCCAGCTGCCCTCCGCGGCGGCCCCCGCGGCGGCCGGGAGCCCGGGGACAGCACCGCCCGCTGCAGGCTCCGCCCCGCGCCGCCCGCGCCCCGCCCGCCACGCGCCCGCCCGCCCGCCGCAGCCACCCACCCCGGGCGCCCCCGACGGCCAGAGGCCAGGCCGCCACGCCGCGGGCACCGGTCCTGCGCCCACCCCGGGGCTTGGGACCCCACCGACCCCGGCAGAGCGGCCTGTGGGTGGAACATGTACCCCCCCCCCCCCGAACACCGGCTAGCCGCGGACCAGGACGGGGATTTGCACACTGGACCCCGGTGGCCCTGCGCCAGCTCAGATCCACCCAAGCCGAGGCCCTCTCCTCCACGCAACCCATGCCATCCCCTCCGCTTTTCCCATGCTGGGCAGTGAACCGTGTGGCTCGGATGGCCCAGGACGTCTGTGAGCCTCGGTTTCTTCATCCATAAAATTTTACACCCCGGAGCTTAGCGGAAGGAATGCACGTTGAATTATGAGTCAGACGAATTTGGATTTGAATTTCAGCTCGAGCACTTGCCAGCTCCATGGTCTTTCACCAGCCCTTCAGCTTCAGTGCGGCAGTGTCGTCTGTAGAATGGGAGAATCTGGTGTGTGTGTTAGGCTAGAAGCGTTTGCCCATCTCCACGTGGAAGAATGACTCAGAGAAGGGTGCCGGGTGAAGAAGGCTTTTACTTTTTGTGCTTTTTATTCTATTTGTATTCTGTTTGTATGCCTTTTTTAGATATTTATTTGGTTGCTTATTTTTGAGGCAGGGTAGTACTATGAAGTCCTGGCCGGCCTGGACCTCATTGTGTAGACCAGGCTAGCCCCCAATTCACAGAGATCCACCTGTTTCTGTTTCTGGAAGTGTTGGGATTAAACTCATGCACTGTCACACCTGTGCAACCTTGTAAAATTTTTGAAAAACAGAAACACATAGGGCATGGTAATGCGTGCATCTAATCTCAGCACTTGGGGGACTGAGGTAGGGGGACCGATGCACATTCAAGACCAGCGTGGGAAACCCAGTAAGTTCTAGGGCAGACTGGGCCACAGAATGAGACCATCCCAGTCTCAAGAACAATAAAAACACCCAAACAAGGTTACAGAGATGGTTCAGGGGGCTGGAGAGATGGCTCCGAGGTTAGGAGCACGGGCTGTTCTTCCAGAGGACCTGGGTTCAATTCCCAGCACCCACATGATAGTTCACAACTGTCTGTAACTCCAGTTCCAGGGGATCTGGCATCCTCACATAGACATATATGTAAGCTAAGCATCAGGGCATATAAAATAAATAAATTTTAAGAGATGACTCAGGCCGGGCGGTGGTGGCGCACGCCTTTCATCCCAGCACTCAGGAGGCAGAGCCAAGCAGATCTCTGTGAGTTCGAGGCCATCCTGGGCTACAGAGCGAGCCCCCTGTCTTGAAAAAAACAAAACAAACAAACGAGACAGAGAGAGACAGAGACAGAGAGAGAGGGCTCAGCCATTAAAGACCAGGCTCAGAACCAAAATGTCAAAACACTCAAATATAGAAGTACTAGCAACATTGTCTACAGAGACCCTTGGGTGCCCCACCTAACATTTCTTGGATAGCTTTTTTTTTTTTTTTCTTTTTGAGACAGGGTTTCTCTGTGTAGCTTTGAAGCCTGTCCTGGAACTCCCTCTGTAGACCAGCTGACCTTGAACTCACAGAGATCCGCCTGCCTCTGCCTCCCGAGTGCTGGGATTAAAGGCGTGCGCCGCCACCAACCGGCTTCTTGGGTAGCTCTTGCTGAGGGCACGGAAGTTAGTCTCTGTCCTCAAGGTGCTCAGTCTAGTGAGAACAGCCCCTGCGAGTGATCACTGACCACTGGAGTCAGCATGGGCTCTGTAGAAGGAAGCAGGAGCTGTCTCAAAGATGGTGGTTGTGTATCTGAAACAGTCCTAGGGCTGGGGGTGTAACTCAGTGAGCTTTGCACACAGGAAACCCGGTTTCCATCCCAGCCCTGAAAAGGGCTGAACGCTATTGTTTGTTATTGAGACAGGGCCCAGACTTGAATACCTCTGGCTTCAGCCACCTGAGTCTGGGATTCCAGTCCTGGGATAAACCAGAATTTTAACCTTATTTGAAATTTAACATGCATATTTTGTTTTCTCAGCAAATCCCCACATTCTTTCAAGACAAGCACTGCTTACACACTTTGATTTTTCATGTTCTGTATTCGTGGTTTGGAGAGTTACAAGAAATATGTGAATCGGTGGTAATAAGTGTGACCCTAGCATTAAGGAGGCTGGGGCCTGCAGGAGGATTGTGAGTTCAAAGCCACCCCAGAGGGAGAGGCTCAAGAGATGACTCAGAATTTGGAGTACTTGCAAGGACCTTGGGTTCCATTCCCAGCATCCACGTGGTGGCTTACAACTGAACTCCAGTTCCAGGAGATCGAGTGCCCTCTTCTGACCTCCTCGGGGCAACCAGGCATGCACGTGGTACATGCACATATGTACAGGCAAAGCACTGATACACATAAAAACATTTTTGAAAAGGAGATGGAAAAAAGAAAGCTTGGCTTTAAAAGGGTGGGTGAGGAAGAAGAGGAGCACTAAGGGAAGAAATAGGGCCATTTGAACTGGTCAGGGAGCCCGAGGCATGGCTCACGGTTAAAAGACATGTTGCTCCTGCAGAGAACCCAAGTTCCAGTCCTAGAACTCAAGTCTAGGGCTTTGTAACCCAGCTCCACAGGATCTGACCACTCCTCCTGTGGGCATTGGATTGAAGTGCAAATACCTCCCCCACACACCTGTAAACATAATTTAAAAATTGCTGGTTATTGTGGCACACACCTGTTTCACTTTATGTTTTAAAGACTTGTTTTTATTAGCTGGCATGGTGGCGCATGCCTTTAATCCCAGCACTCTAGATGTAAAAGCAGGTGGATCTCTGTAAGTTCCAGGCTAGCCTGGTCTACATAGTAAGTTCTAGGACAACCAGAACTTCATAGAGAGACCCTGTCTCAACACCCCCCAATGTATTTATTTTATGTGTATGAGTATTTTGCTTGAATGCATGGGTACTCTGTGCATGCCCGGTGCCTGCAGAGGCCAGAAGAGGCCTTTGGGTCCCCTAGAATTAATGTTCCAGGTGGTCACTGGGAAATAAACCTGGGTCCTCTGCAAGAGCAGAAAAGCACTCTTAACCTCTGAGCCACCTCTCCAGCTCTATTTTTTTTAAAGATAGATAAATAAATTGAAATTAGCATATTTTTAAATTTAATTAAAAAAAATTTTTTTTCATTGGCCGGGTGGTGGTGGTGGTGGTGGTGGTGGTGGTGGCGGCGGTGGCGGCGGCGCATGCCTTTAAATCTCAGCACTTGGGAGACAGAGGCAGGTGGATCTCTGTGAGTTCGAGGCCAGCCTGGTCTACAGAAAGAGATCCAGGACAGGCATCAAAGCTAAACAGAGAAACCCTGTCTCAGCAAAGCAAAGCAAAACAAAACAAAATTTCATTGGTGTTTTGTCATGGATGTGGTGTCCCCTGGAACTGGAGTTACAAACAGTTGTGAGCTGCCATGTGGGTGCTGGGAATTGTAGAGCAGCCTGTGCTCTTAACCTCTGAGTCATCTCTCCGGTCCCCAAATTAGTATATTTTTAAAGAATCAACTCGAGCTAATTTAAAACATTTTTATTTTAGATTTTTTTTAGTTTAGTTTAGTGGGTGCGCACACATGTATGAAGGCCAGAAGAGGGTGTCAGATCTCTTGGAATTGGAATTACAGGTAGTTGTGAGTTGCCTGACCTGAGAGGTGGGAACTGAACTCAGGTCCTCTGCAAGAGCACCAAGCACTCTTACCCGCTAGCTGTCCTTCCAGCCACGCCCCACCCTAATTCTTTTGTCTGAGTAATAAAGTACTCTAATTTAGAATTTTTGACAAGTCACTAAAAATACCCAAAACAAATTTTAAAATCACAAAGTGTGTTGGACGGTGGTGGTGCATGTCTTTAATCCCAGAAGTTGGAAGGCGAAGGCAGTGGCAGGCAGATCTCTGTGAATTGGAGGCCAGCCTGGTCTACAGAGCTAGTTCCAGAATAACCAGGGCTACACAGAGAAATCCTGTCTCAAAAAAAAAAAAAAAAAAAAAAAAAAAAACAAGGCAAAACAATACCCGAAACCAAAAACCAAAAAACAACAACAAAAAACCCCACCCAAAAAAAACAAAACAAAAAAACCACGAAGGTATCACAAAACATGACAGCAACTTCCTCTGGGGCCTCTCCTTACCTCTGCTCAGATCCTGGGTTCCTTCCTGAAGAGCTCTGGAAGGTAATGGGTTAATGCCCCTCTCTGGAGGTGTGGCTTCTCTAAGGACTGCTGTGGACACACAGTCCTAACCTAGAGGTGTATTTATAGAGCTGTTTGCTCAGGGAAAGCCCCTTTGCCCAAGCCAGGGAGTGCCAGGGCAGAGGATCAAAGGCAGTCTGCTTCACGGGGGTGGGAAAAGGCTTTTAGGCCAGGCAGCTTTCGGTGCTGACCCTGGCTGTCCGAACACACACACACACACACACACACACACATACACACACACACACACACACACACACACACACACACACACACACACATACACACACACACACACACACACACACACACACACACACACACCTATGAGGACACACACACACACCTATGAGGACACCAACGGCAGGACTGGCAGGCAGGCTTACTGCCTGAAGGGGAGCAGCTGGAGGGAAGGTCTGCCTTTGACATTTGGAACTGCTGGGAGCTGATGGTCACAAACAGTCCTTTCCATTAAGAGACGGCTGTGCACCAAAGCACTCCAGAGCTGTCACCTCCCTGGACTTGGTGGTCTAGGGAACTTTCTGACAACTCAGAAACTTATGAAGGCTAAGATTAAATCTGTGGATCCTGTCTTGAACATTACAATTTTTTTCTTTGTTTGATTTTTTTAAAGATTATATAAG